CTGAAGACGGACGCACAGAGAAAAATACTGTAGCAGGCAGATCACTCACTGTTCATGACGCACGAACTATTGGAAGAAAATCCTCAATATTGATTTGGGGATTTATATTAAATGGGTCCTATTATGCTTTTTCACTTTTTACATTTTAGTCAGTGTGTAGTGTGTATGTTTGGGCATACAAAAGATCTAGAAAGTTACAAATCTCAAAGTCCACTCCAAAGGGAGATATTTCGTTTTTTAAAAATCCCTTTTCAAGAACTACAACGAACGGCTCGTTTGGACTACAGCGTTTGTTTTCCGGGCTTTGTGATATCATGAAGTGGCTTATTGGAATATCATTACAAATAATTCCCACCTACAGAAATTCGAATGGTTGGGGAGGGGCGAGGTTGTGGTTAGAGCGCTTGGTTGAGTGAGTGCATCAGACGAGATGACGAAGAAGAAGTGCTGCTGCAGAGTTAGTGCATCAGAGAAAACGAAGAAGAAGAGCTGCTGTGCTGTAGCTTCAAATTTTCGGCATGTCTAGAACAATTCTTACAAGTACAACATGACGTAGCTGGGCGCCGCGGACAGATGCCGAACGGCGCCGCCGGTGTGCCTACACTCATAGAAAATAAAGTATTTGAATTTTAAAGACGTGGCGCGACGCTGCGCTTCTCGTCCGGTGTGCGACCGCCTGAAACGCTGTTTTTTTCACCTCCATGCCCAAACGTCTTTGTTTGGGCTTCCGAAAGTGGATGATGTCAGGAAACAGTGGTTGCAATTTATTTTTTAACTCTGTTCCTGAGCATTATAACCCCAATTTGCTATTGTGTGCTGCGCATTCGAGGACAGCTTCCACAACACGAGGGAGTACAGTGCCGGATTCGCCAAAAGCTTTTGTTGAAAGACGGAGCAAGGGGCGTGGCAGTACTGAAACACCGTCTAAGCTGTTCGCCAATCACAACGCACTGGGACAGCTAACCAATCACAACACATTTTGTTTTTCGGAAGGCGGACCTTCATCAAAGCCGGAACTAATCGAGCCGTTTGTGCCAGGCTGGAGAGAAAGGTGTTTTAATAATGTAAATTATGTGAAAAATAATGCGTTTTTCGAACAACCTAGTATGAGAGCCTGTTCTAGTACACCCCCAAAACAAAATCAAGACTTTGTAAAAGAGCATAATAGGACCCCTTTAATGTTTTAGATTCTTCGAGACTTCAGCCTTCTCTTTGGACCTGAAACGTCTGCTAGACTTCTAGAAAGGTGGCCATCATACAAACCGAAGTTGATAAAGGAGGCATCAATGCTTGCATCGACACCGTATCTGGAACAGCTTTTACAATCAGCCAGAGATGAGCAAGGGGAATCCTGTGAAGACATCTTGAAAAGTATTTATATATTATATATATTTGCATAATTTGTTTTCATAATTTTTTGTTGTTGTTGTTGTTGATTGATTAAATTTTATATGACACTAGTTTTTAGTAGTTCAATTATCTTATTTTAGTTGAATCAATTGTTTTTGCAGGTTGGGACAGTGATATGTCTACTTTACTTCTGCTGTTGCACATCCTGTCACCTCAACCAGCTGGGAGAAAGAGGACTACTAAGATCAGTGCACGTCAAGCCGTGGATCACCTCGTAGATTTTCATAAGGTGTGTTATGATTTCAGGAATTTGTACATATTAGGGCTGGGCGATATGAGCAAAAATTCATATCTCCGTATTTTTCGGCTGATTTGCAGTATACGGTATATATCGGTATTTATACACTTATGTATTTGGATTAAACAAATAAACAAATAAAGTGAATGTAACCATAGGCATATATTATGTTAAAAAAGGGTTAAAATCACATTACATTCTAATGAAGTTTAGCGGAGAATCCCAAAGCAGAAGTCTCATGCACTTCTGTTCTGACAGCAAAATGGAAATATTTCTATGGCTTTCTAACATTTACAGATGGAGAAAAAAATTGTGAAATGTAAGTTATGCATTAAGGAATACAGCACATCTCAAACACATTAAACAGCGCGAGTCTCTGTCAGCGGCACACGCTGCCTTTCTGTCAGAGCTGTTTTAAAATATCGATATAAACGGTATTGCCTTATATCGTATCGCTTATAAAGAATATATCGATATATCGTACAAACTCGATATACCGCCCAGCCCTAGTACATACTCTAAACTCCATAAATCACTGAACTGAATGCTCTTTTGAATATATTCTAGTATTTGATTTAGGGATGCCAACGATTAATCAACAATTGATTAATTGTCGATAATCTTTTAAAGGGGTCTTTTGACGTTGCTAAAAAGAACATTATTTTGTGTATTTGGTGTAATGCAATGTGTTTATGTGGTTTAAGGTTCAAAAAACGCATTATTTTCCACATACTGTACATTATTGTAATGTGGTGCAAACATCTGAATATTTGGGTTGAACTGTTCTGGAACAGTGTTGTAAATACAACTTATCCACTGATTTCTAGTGTCCTCTTTTTGGAAGGTCAAACTAAGTATTTTCGCTATTACAATGAAACACACAGCATCTCCACAACATGGAAATTTCATATTTCTTAATTTCGGTCGATACGATATAATTCTATCAATATGAAAAATATTTTTAAAAGCCTCAGAAAAACTGCCAAGAAGGCCCACAACAGATGTCTTTACCTACAAACTTCAGAAAAATTAATTTGCCAAGTGTATGAAACATCCTCCTATAAAACTAGATATTTGAGAAAAAGTGGCACAAATAAATTAATGTTTATTAGTATTTAGCCTTCATACAAACAAGAAATGTCAAATAAACATCTTAAACTTCAAACTATAACATGCACTACTACAAACTATAACATGCACTACTATTCAACAGTTTTAGAATAGTAAGATTTTGAATGTTTTTTTTTTTTTAAATAAGTCTCTTCTACTCACCAAGCCTGAATTTATTTGATGCAAAGTACAGCAAAAACTGTACCATTTTGACATTTTTACTATTTAAAATAATTGCTTTCTATTTGAATATATTTTCAAATGTAATTTAGTCCTGTGATTTCAAAGCTGAATTTTTGGCATCATTTCCTAGTTGAAACACCTTGATGCAGATCTGGCAAAGAGTGCAAGTTCAGTATATGTGTTTAAAAAGTATGTTTGTTTGTTTTTTATAGTGTAAAGCCCTTTGAAACTGCAATTTGGACCTTCAACTATTTGCTCACATGGATGCACCCATGCACCATTTGCCAGTGTGCTATTGATGCGTTGTATATTAGCCATTACATTTAATCATTAAATGGTTCTATTAAGTTATCCTTCACTGATTATTTTTATAATCCTAGCCTTTTATTTAAAGTAAAAACATTTTCTTTGGGTGAGTATATTTGCGTTTTAAATGTCATTTGCACATCCTGTCATGCCGGTGACGATGTACCACTGATGTGACACATCTAGCATTATTATGGTTAATGATTAATCAATTAATTGATCGTTAATTTTAATGACAATCGATCATGGGAATTTGTGGAAATTTACATTCCTAATGTGATTGCAATTCTTTTTCCATACATTTCTTTCAGTCATGCCGGAGTCTTGAAGAGCACTTGGATGCAGATGAACGTCGGCAGCCGTATCTTCTTGCATCAGGAACCAGCAGACGAGCTATCAGCAACTACTACATCGTCATGGATAAAAAGCTCATCTTGTGCCAGGGAACCACATCACTTGCAGCGTTTGATGAGCTTTTCAAGGTCCACTTCGTTTTCAGTTTAAATTATGATGAAGCACTTTGCAGCATGTATACCTTCATCCAGACCGCTGTCTTTGGTATTGATGTGGGAATCACCAAAGCAACACCGAAAGTTAAGGATTTGCGAGCCAAGTTGCTGAATGATGTATAGGTGTTACGTTTGTCGGACACTTCATCATTCAAGTGCATACTTGATTCGACATTTCAAACTTTCACATGGTTTATATCCTGGCAAAAAGTTTCATTTGTTGTGTGCACAGGATGGTTGTTCTTTGGAGTTTAAAAGATACTGTGGTTTCAGACGACATCTTAAACTTTTTCACAATGACAGTGACACTGAACTTCCGAGTTGCTCTGATGAAATATCAGATTCAACTGTCATCACATCTGTAGGTATGCCGGCTCTGCCTATGAGTGGACCAAACAGTTCATCATCTTTTGGAGTGCTGGGCACACATGAAGATTTGAGTAACACTGACTGTTCAGTGTTAAAAAAATGTGTGCTTCTGTTATTGCAAAGTTGCAGGGAAGTGGGGTTTCAAACAATGTTATTTTGTCTGTTATAGAAAGTATGGAAGAATGTTTAAATGAGGTTCATACATCTTTCAAAAATCAGATCTTGAATGTCGTGCCAGAGTGTAACCCAAGTAGAGTGCCAGTAGAAAATGTGCTTGCGAATTTAAAGAATAATTTTTCTATCTAAACACCAATAGCAAATGGAAAAAATATTTTTGCGCACAATGGGGAGTTGTACAACCTCTGGAGGTGCATTTAGGAGTAAGATATGATTCCCGAAAAAATAGAAGGTCTGGATTTTACGAACAAGTTCCCGTCAGTGACACTTTCATGTACATACCATTGTTTGAAACTCTGGAGTTTATTTTCAAGAATGAGATGATTTGTGGCCATATTCAGTGTTCGACAGCGAGTGATATATATTCTGACTTCTGTGATGGTACTTACTTCAAGACTAATCCATTGTTCTCAGTAGTTGAACATGCCCTGCAGCTTCAGGTTTATTACGACGATTTTGAAACTGCGAATCCATTAGGGTCCAAGCATGGAGTGCATAAGCTTGGATGTTTGTATTTCACACTTAGAAATCTTCCACCTCATCTCAATTCCTCCCTTATAAACATACATCTTATTTCCCTGTTTCACTCAGAAGATGCTAGAAAATATGGTTTGGATAAAATACTAAGTCCTTTTATAGAAGACATAAAGAAGCTGGAAACGTGTGGCATGAAGGTGTCCTTTTCTGATGAACCACTTTATGGAACTATATGTCAGATCACAGGTGACAACCTAGGTTTAAACGGTATTCTTGGCTATGTCGAGTCTTTCAATGCCCATTACTTTTGCAGGTTGTGTGAAACCGATAAGGCCACAGCTCAAACAGTATTCAATGAGCATGACCCCAGAGTTGTTTTGCGGTCTAAGCAGCTAAATGAGCAGCATTACAAAAATCTTGAGGAGTCTGGAGACAGTTCATGTTACGGTATCAAACGCAATAGCATTCTCAATGAGTTAAAATATTTCCATGTTCAGATTTAATTCAAACGAGTGAACGAATTAGTAAGTTCTGAGAAAATACCGCTCCTCTCGGAACGTGATTTCAACTATGGGGGGCAGAGGCATCATGCGGCATCATGCACGTGCCCCCTCAGATTTTTGAGCCAAGTGGATTTTGAATGCAGCTTCCAAAAGACAAAAAAAATAGCAGAATAATATTTTTTTATATATTTATATTCCGAGGCGGACAGTAGTGAAGTATTTTTACTCTGCTGTAAAAGTACTTTTCAGGTGTCTACTTTATCAGAGTGTTTTTCTTTAGAAAACGTTACTTCACAACATTCCAAAGCATAATATTGTACTTCGTACTGCACTACGTTTCATATTAAATATAATTTAATACTTAATTACATTAGAAATCTATTACTTTCTTTCTTTTACTCAAGTAAAAGTAATTCAAAGATTTACTTGAGTACAAGAAAGTACTACATTTTTAATGTTCTTAAGCAGGGTTTGAAATTAACACCCGCCAAAAGCGGGTAAATATCAGCTGTGGCGGGTAACGCTGTCAAATCACTAGCCAGTTTGGCGGGTTACTTTTCGTAAGTTATGTTCACTCATTAATTTTTTTGGGAAGTTCATGCAAGCCAAATCTGCGCAGGTTTAGCGCAAATACTGAACTCGTGAGACATCATGACATTATCGAGTATATTGCAAAAACCAAACAAAACACACCTAAGTTACAAAGTGCACGCATACGCGACGTGATGTAGTCTGGTTAGACTAAAGCCCTATTCGCACGGGATTAGTATTACCTGGTGACCTCCAGTCATTTGTAATAATTGCGGAGGTTGTCTGTGATCTTAATCCCGTGCGAATCGGCCATGTCTGTAATTTGTAAAGTAAAAATTCCCCCGCAAATGACCTACCA